TCCTAATGTCTCATTTTAAACTTCTTTGATTTTATTAACAATATATTTTAGGTGAATGGGCAGTGCGCTGGACACACTGCTATGCAAGCTGCAAGTCAAAATGGACATGTTGACATTTTGAAATTGCTTCTGAAACAGAATGTGGATGTAGAAGCAGAGGTATCTGAAAGCTTAAATGTTTAACAATACTTAGTAAAATGTATTTATTATATATTAGTTAAATATCTGTATTATATTTTAAAATGTTAGTTAAATATTTTAAAACAAAATTGCCTAATGTCATGGATTATTGTTTGTAAGATAATATTCTTTTATTGCTAATTATGTAATTATTTAACTAGCTTATTGAATGGGTCCCTTTCACTTGATTTAATTTTGGTAATGGCCAATGGTCTTATTTTAGGGTTATTTAAGGATTTCATTCCCTCATGTAAAATAAAATCAGGAAAATGAAATGCAGGCATACTCACTCAACTAGATAACCAATTAACTATGGTGAATTGAACCAATTTTGCTGAATTGAGATTAATAGATATTTTCCTATAAAAGGGAAGAAACTTGACATTTACATATTATGCTACTGCTGCACCGTGGATGGTTCTTTGCACTAGAAATTGAGTTATTGACTAGGCTGAAGGTTGCATCCAGGAAATATCAGAAGCTATTAATACAGCAGTTCATAAGTAAAATTCCTCTCTTATAAACAATTGGCTATGACTTGTAACTAATATTTAACAGCAAAATAAGTTGCTAGGAACCATGATGATACAGTGGTTAGAATGCAGTATTGCAGGCTAATTCAGCTCACTGCGGGGAGTTTTGATTCTCACCATCTCAAGGTTGACTCAGCCTTCCATCCTTCTGAGGCGGGTAAAATGAGTATCCAGATTATTGAGGGCAATATGCTGACTCTGTAAACCCCTTACAGAGTAAAGCACTATGAAGCGGTATACAAGTTTAAGTGCTATTGCTATTGCCATTTTACATGTTAATTCTGTCTCAATGTGAAGTAGAACTATACACACACATCATTTACTTTTGATGCTTGATATCATTGCATCCTTTTATTAACTGTGTGCAACAATTTAAAAATCTCCCACTAAATTGTAGAACAAAAATATCATGCAGCTGAATTTTAACTATTTAGGACAAAGATGGAGACAGGGCTGTTCATCATGCAGCCTTTGGTGATGAAGGAGCTGTGATAGAAGTTTTACATAGAGGCAGTGCAGATCTCAATGCTCGCAATAAGCGTAGACAGACACCACTTCATATTGCTGTGAATAAAGGTCATCTCCAAGTTGTGAAGACATTACTGGACTTTGGTTGCCATCCCAGCCTCCAGGTAATTTGACTTATTGTTTACGTTTTTTTTTTTGTAACTATGAACTCAATTTGAGCATTTTTTCATACGTATATAACTTTGAAATATTAAATAGGGTTAGCCTCCAAGTTATAATTTGGAGTGTAATGTCAGAACAGGGTAATGTTCAGCTTTCCGTCCCTCCTATCAGGATGTATGGAAGCATTGAATATATTGAAGGTAATAGTAGCTTGGGTGTGATGCAGATGAATAAACTAAGAGTAGTGCTTTTGGTTTCTATCAAATCTGAGGAACAATTATTTCCAGATAAAAAGGTACACCATTGTAAACAGGAATTCTTTTAGTTTTGTGACACTGTTGGAATGTTTCTGTTTTTCCTGCCTTTACTACTATCTAAACATGGAGTTGACTATTGATGTAGAAGTTTGTCAAGGGGAACTGGAGAAATTACTAAAAGAACAGAGTGTCAATAGTGACTTGGTTGTTCATTACCTCCAGAAATATAGACAGTAACTCAAATATAAAATTGCCAGAGAGTAACAGGTATTGTCCATGTCTGTGAATTTCCCAAATTCAAATGATAGGTCATGTATGTGATACAGAATGCACGACTAAATATGCTGTTGGCTAAATTCAGCAAAGGTCTTACTACATTCTTATATCAGGATATTTCTTTTTAAATGAACTTTGCTGAGTTTTCTTTTGTATAGATAAGGAAGATTTATTTAGTTGAAATGTCTATTTCTATAGAAATTTATTGTATTATATGTTAATTTGATTTTTTATAATACTTTTAATTGGAATACTAAAGTGGCATTTTTTTCTATTGGGAAAGGCAGCATCCAATGAACTTTCTCTGAAATTGCTTTCAAGGCATTTTCTATTTTCTTATTGCATTGATAGAGATCACACCCATGAATATTTTCTGTAGGTGTTCTGTCTGATAGTTTCTGTGCTTGAGGCTAGCTCTACAGCTTATGGCCTGAACAATAGCCTTCCCACTTTTATTGGGATCATTTGCCATAAATATACTTCAACAGCATCCCATATCAAGCTTAGCTTATATAGTTAGTGATAGAAAGTATATTAAATGACTTGTATTTTAAGGTATTATTACTGAGTAAGCTTGAAATATTTTAGGGCAATTCTTTTCCTGCATTTCTAATATAATATCTCTGTGCTTTAGGGGAAACAGCATTGTATTGATGCCTTTCATGATGTAAGGCATCTTAACATTTACACAGAGGATGTTGTTATGTTGTGCTAATTTAAGATCAAGTCAATTCAAAATTATACAGATGTATTCTGTCTAAACATCAACACATTTTTTTCATATTTAGCTATTTTTTTCTTGAAGTTTGATAGGTAGTTAGGGAAGGAGATAAATAAATTGATATAAATTGACTAATATTTATTTTTTAGGATTCTGAGGGTGATACACCTCTTCATGACGCAATAAGTAAAAAGCGTGATGATATTTTAGCAGTCCTTCTGGAAGCTGGAGCAGATGTTACTATTACAAATAACAATGGATTTAATGCTCTTCATCATGCTGCATTAAGAGGAAATCCAAGGTATTGTATAGGTTTATTGCTTTCTAATGTTTGATAAACATAGTATTATAATAAAAATGATAACATTAGTTCAGAAGAGTTTTAACATTAATTTTTCTATAACTCAGTAAAATATATAATTGAACACTATAGAATTGATGTAGTGAGTATTTGAACAAATGCAGGTTATACTAAATTATCCATATGGTTAATTGTTTTGTGTGCAGTCAGATGTTTGTTCTCATGCAACTACAATCTCTAAAAGCATCATGAGGCAATTTAGAATTACATTCACTTTATTTTGCAAAGATTAAGACTATATAAAGAATGTGAACATGCATATAAAAACTTAATGTGAGTAGCATTATGACAACAAATACATGCCCAAGTACTACCCCATCAGCTTTCTTACTAACTGACTAAGAAGTGAATTTGACACATGCCATTTAAATTGTGCAGAAGAATGGGATAAAAGCTTGTGAAATAACAGTTCTGATATTATAATTAATATACACAGGTTACAAAGCAATTACACAAAGTCATAGCGAACCGAATCAGTATAACATTTTGCTTTTTCTGTTGTGATGTTAAAACTCAGAATCACGCATTGGAACTAATTATGGAGGATGTTTAAGTCCAATAAAATAAAGTATCTTTAGCACCTACACAGGATCTTTGCCTTTCTGTTTAAATATTGTAGTTGTGCTATGCCTCTTTGGATACGTGACAAGAATGGCAACATATGAAGAAAAAAAGTGGGGCTCTTAGCTGATCTTCTCTCCCTTGTCATTCCCCCCCACCCCCTGCCCCCACACTACTGACTACTTTACTGAATGAATAATTAACAGAACTGTGAAAAGCCTTTAAAGAAGTGATTCGTAACATGTGGACATGTATACAAAGCCTTTCTTTTCAAATTGCTAAAGCATGCTTGCAAAGCTTGTGCAGCTGCTCTTGACTATTTCCATATGTGTGGTCATACACAAACCACTTGGCTTTGCTTTTGCCTCTTTCGAAGCAGCTGCATGAGCCTTGCAAACCTTATGGCTTCTTCAGTGATTTGTGAATAAATACTTCATATGGGCTTATGCATATTACGAAGCCTCTCTTTTAAAGGCTTTGCCCAAGCTTTATTGTTAAGCTGTGGAATTTGCTGCCATCAGACATGATGGCTGACTTAGTTTTAAAAATGGTAAGATAAATTCATTGAAGTTAATTCCATCGGTGGCTACTATTCTTGTTGGCTGTTTGCTTCTTTTGGGATTGCAGATAAGAAAAAGATGCCCTTGAATTGAGCTTGACTCCTGATGAATTCATATAGTTGGCAACTAAAACAACAAAGCAAAATTGAATTGTGAGCCTCTTCTTCTGGGGTGTTTTTTGACTTGATAGACCAACTTACAGCCCTGGTATTTTTTTAGGTCTTTGATTCTGTCTTTTGAGCTTTGATACTATTACTTGCTGAAATAGAATCATAGGCTGATATATTAAATGTCATCTGAGAAGCAACAACAGTATAGGACTATCACTGTCCTATCCTATCCATGTTTGGTCTAATGCATCTGGTTGGTCCCTCTACACAATCAAACAAAGAGTGCTGGACTGGACAGGCCAATGGCCTAATTCTCTAGCACTCTTCTTGTGCCTGTGAACCACATTATAACATGATACATTTTCTGATTTCAACTATGGACTCTCTTTAGATCTGACTACTTTTTAAAAAGCTTAATTTTCAACCAGTCTATGATAATCCAAAACTTGTAATTAAGTTTACAAGCTATAATTTATGTCATGGCTAGCTGGTATGTCAGCATAACTAAAATTGCTCTTGCCCAAAAGGGAATGGAAATGAATGTATAAAGAGGGCTATTGACAGAATGTTTAAAATAATATTCTGTAATCATTAACTATCTGGTCATTTAGGAATTCTATCCATATTTCTCTCTTAATTGACTAATGTAGGGCTGTCAAACTCCTGGCCTGTAGGCTGGGTGCTGGTCATACCCACACCCGCTTTAGTGAAGAGGAAAAAAGTCCCAATACGTCATGTGGCACTACTGTGACAACATGAGTTTAACAACCCTGGACTAATATATATCAAACATTGGTACAGCACCTGAATTAAGATGATAGCAATTAATGGTATTCAAATCCAAAGTGAGAAAGTTATATTGGATTTAGCATGGACATGTTTGTTGTACTTGTCAGTAGCATATTTTTAGCATGCTTCGAGGCCAGGAAATATTTTTGATTGGTGTTAGCACATTAATTCAAGACTGGCCTTCAGAACTTGGGTTGAAAACTACAAAGTAATACATAGGAAAATACATTATCTAATAGCAATTCACTGAAATCTTGTAATTTAATGGTATTTTTATTCAGACACTAGCTTAATTTTTGTTTTAGGACAGGCAATGTTAATTTAATGGAAAAAGAAAAGATGTTGAATACATTTTTGTCATCCTACTTGTAGTTGCTACTAATTTAGTTCTTTATTTTGTTGCATATGCAGAAAGTGAAGAATCAGTTTTAACTATATTTTGAACTTCTATAGATGATAAAAACATTCTCTGAGATCCCATCTGTGTGCCATAAGGGATAAGATCCAAAGTCTAACCCAAAATTCCAAAAATGAACAGTTAAACATAAATATAATCATATTATCTAATTTCATTCTGTATCTGTTATTTTTAGACAAATTGCATTTAAATCTGAAGGTTGCCTCTAAGCTACTATAGCTAACAGGAAATGATAATTTTTTCCCCTTTTAAAAGCTCTTTCAGTTAATGATCACTACCTCATACCTGTGTTTCCCCGATAATAAGACTGGGTCTTCTATTAATTTTTGCTCCAAAAGACGCATTAGGACTTATTTTTGGTTAGGTCTTATTTTCTCAGAAATATGGTACTAAATGCGTCTGGACTAGATGACAATTTTAACTGAGGCTTATTTTGGGGGTATGGTTTATATTACAAGCATACTGGAAAAATGCTAGGGCTTATTTTCTGGTTGGGTCTTATTTTGGGGAAACAGTGTTTTGCTTTCTTAAGTTATTAAAATATGCTAGCTGTTTCAACAGAGTAAGATGGCACTAGACTTTATGGCAGACAAAGCAATATATGTTGACTCTACAAACAACCTCATAAACTCACAAATACAACATTGAAAAATATACTTTATTGAAGAAAGATAAAAGCCATACGTGTGGAGAAAATCTATATACTATAGAACTTAAGATCTTTTTCTCTTCTCCCCCTCTTCCTCCTTCTGCTTTTTTGCATCTAGAGAAATTTGAACATTTTCTTCCTGTACTTGAGATTGTGAAATATCATCCATTGTTTTTATATCAAATCTGAGAATTGCCAGTTCTTGTTATAGCTTCACCCTGGGCATGGAAATGAATTTCTAGGAAAGCAAACATGCAGTCATGAGCCTAGCAGTGGAAGATACAAGAAAAAAGATTCAAATATATAATTTGCTTTTATTGAAAAAGATACTGCCCTAATAACAAAGATCAACTACTACAGTTTTTATTAATCCAATTATGTTAATATGTCAGGTTCAGGGTTTAATTTTTTTTGTCTTTTCCCCCCTTATGTGATAAAATACTTTTTCCTGCCCATTCTAAGAGCACTTGTACAGTTTTTTGATACATTAAAAAAAAAAAACTATACTACTGCCCTTGGCAGCTTCAGCCATTACAGAGAGTCACCTTAGGTGGTAAATTCTGGAGTGAATGTGGACCACCAACAGCAGGCCCAAGTCTAAGTCTTCCTTCTGTGTTCCAGGTTATTTCCTCTGTCGATAGCAAAGCTGTTCATGCCATACCAGCTTATCTAATTAATTCCAAAATTCAGGTAGAGGATGATGATCCATCACCAGTGCTGAAATTACATTAGCTTCTGGTCCAGTCAGTTCGAAATACAGAAGAGGAGTCTTCACAGAGTAAAATTCCTACAGTTCATATTCGATTTCTAATTCATGTCTTTTCTTTTGGAAACATAGTATCTAGCAATTAAGCCAAGCAAGATCAAACCAACTTATTATTTGGATAGTTAATGACTAAGAAATAGCCTTACTGTAGGCTACTAAGAAGAAGTCGAAACAGGAAGAAAGTAATACTCCACTTCAGTATTCTTGCCAAGAAAACCAAACGAATGCATCTATAAAATCCTCAGGAATCAAACTTGATTTTGAAATAAAGAAAAGGAACAAAGTTACGCTAACCTTCCGAGAATAGGTTCTGATGATCAGTTTTGTATAGGTTTTCTCTTTTTAATATTCCTATTATTAAAAATCAGTTGATAAAACTACTTGTCCTGTAGTGATCAATACATAGCTACAGCTGGTTGAAGGGGACCAAATCCATTAAACATGCGATTTGATTCCATTTTACCAGCTTAAGCAAAGCATTGAAAACCTAGTTTTGCCATCAAGCCTGAGACCCTGAGCCAGTTTCTTGGCCATGGTTATAATGAAGGTGTGATGTCAGGAGTGTTCTCTGCTGCTATTTTATGTTATTTATGTTGTTTCTAATTTCAATTATTTTTACTCTGGTTTTATTTCTATTTTAACTGTTAGATGCCTGGAACCATTTATATGAGATGGGTGCCCATATAAATTTATTAAATAAATAAATTGAAGCATACAGGTGTTTCTCCATTAAATAAATATCAGATATGGGGAATCATACACTCCCTTACATTTAATTTTTGTTTCGAATGCTTCATTTTTATATTATTAAAAATAGAAAAAAAATAAACCTAAGTCATCGAAGAAAACAATTATGGCTTGTAATAATGCTCCTTCGTAGTTATTTTCATTTCTTGGGTGAGAATATGCATATATTTTTACAGACGTTTACTGAAAAGAATTAATTAGAGAACAAAGTCACAAGGTTTGACTTTTTATAATTGTTCTCAAATATAACTGGTTATTTCCAGAATGAGTTTTATTTTGAAAGACCTTTTCTGTTAACTGGTTAGTTCTATACTTATTCTACACCTGTTTTTGAAAAATGACTTTACAATTTTTGGCATATAATTAACATATTTCAGCATATAATTTAATATGCATATGTTTTATTAATAAAATGGGATTCATTTTTAAGTGTAGAACAGCATCTTATTTGAAGACATGTGAACTTTAAGCCATTCTAAATTGGGATAAGATTAATTTGGGCAGTAATAATGCATAACTTATATGAAATCTTTTATTGCAAAGACATATTTCTCTAAATATTCAGTATGTTTATACTTAGGGTTTAATAGAAATTTATCATATATAAAACTTGAACATTTAAAACCGTATCTATTTTTGTCAGTAATATGGGACTGCACTGGTCCAGCTGTTCAAGTATTCTTTTAGATGGCAACAGTTTTCATGTACTGGCTATATCAGGGCAAAAAGTGACCATGGAAAGAAGTATAGCAGCATTTGATAATGTCAGCATCTGTTATCCTTGTCAGTCAAATGGTTGAGATGTCTGAATTACAACTGTGTCAGCAGATGTCCAGAGTTCAGTTTGTACTTCGTTAGAATTCAGCAGCTGACATAAGTAAGGGAGTGACATTTTAGTATGACTGACAATATTCAAAGAAGTATTAAGATTTGTTTTTATAAAGGTGCATACATAATTTTATGTAAGGCTTGTTTTAGTGTTGGTGTATAATTATGTTTTGGGAAAAAGTACAAAGTATGTTGTTCACTTTATAAATCATCATTGTTTTTAAAATGTGACCCTACAGAAGTTAATATTTAATTTATTGCTCGGATGACTTATTATTAGAAATAGACAGTGCTTCATAGAATTCAGACAGGTTTGCCAAGTTTGTTGCTAATGAAGGCTGTTCTCTGATCATCAATCTGTTGATTATAGAATAAAATGTGTTAATGACAATTCCAATATTTATTTCTGCTTTGCACATTTACTCAATGAATTATAATTAATTGTTTAGTAAAGGTATAGAACAATTTATTTGCAGGAAAATCTTTAGTTTCTGTTTAAATAACAAATGTATTGTTAAATTCTTAAGAACTAATAGAATATTCTTTTCTGGCAGAAAAATCTGTATATGAATAAACTGACAAGATCTTAAGAGAAGGCAGTTAGAAATTAAATTTAAAATATGAAGCCCAAGAGACTAAGTGTCATATACTATAAAGTTTAATCCCACTTAGCCTACTTTGAATTTTCAGTCAGAAAACTATAATATATTTTACATACTAACATCCTTTGTTATACTTCTCTATAGCTAAACATGAAGGATTAAAATTAATTCTTTTTAAAATAATGAGATATTTTAAAACAAGATTTACTTTAACAGTATTGATTTTCTCTTAAAGAATAATTAGGTTAATATTAAATAATGGGAATGCTGACCTTTTAGCTGTTCAATTATTCTGTGAACAGAATGAAATAAAAATGTTTTACCTTAAAGAACATCTTAATTCGTTTTGCAGATAGGAATGATACTGAATCTGCCAAACTTAAACTGATTTACTTTCATCTGATGAAATAAACTGTTTAAAAATATAGACTTACTTGAACATACAGGATACTGATACTCATTTGCTTGCTACATTTTTTTTAGTCATAGACCAAAGCAAAGTAAAATGAAAAGGTGCTATGTTAGAAAAAAGAAAATACAAAATTGTCTTTTCTAGCATATGTGCTGTTAGCATCTGGCAAAAATTCTTCTTACACTTTGAACATTTAAAGGCGGGTGAAGATTGCCTTGGCAGTTACAGAACACAGTAATATTTCCCCTATCAAACATAATACTATATTTGTTAAATAAATGTGATATAATATTCAGATTTAATTTTGATTAATGTGCATTTAATATAAAGAGGAACTTTATTTATTTTATCCTTTTTTATTTCCAGCTGCAGCAATGGTTTCAAATAGGTGGGAAAGCCATGTGCTGCAAGCAATCTCTTATTTTTGAGGCTTTTAATATCTTGCAGGTTAGCACTGCCAAATAGCAGCACAATTCCCCACAATTTTTTTTTTATGAAATGAAATAAAATAGGGGCGTTAAGCAGCCAGTAGATTAATTATGTCCCCGAAAAGATGCTAAAAGAGCAAAATCATGGCACCGCTTCAGCTCAGTGGTGCAACGCATCTCCTTCTACATCAAGCCAATTAAATTCTATTGACATGCTTGCAAATGGGGAAATTAAAGGCATGGAGTGATTAAAGGGTCCCACTTTGCCTGTGCTACCTCAATGTGTATGTGTGCGTGTGTGTATAATTCTTTATCTGTCTTAAGACTTCCTTTATAGGAGAGCCAATTTACTCTAGTGGTTAAGACACCAGGCTAGCCAAGTAACTATGAGTCTAAATTAATCTAGCTGGTTGTTGTGGGAAAAATAGGAAGAGCAAGGTGTATTATATGTGGTTGCTGTCTTGAGTTACTTATAAAAAATAATAAAGATAAGGTAAAAATAAATAAAACATGCAAGAGTACATGATGCTTCCCCCCACCCCACCCAATGAGATACAGTCAAGAGGGGTAATGTTTGAGCTGTTTAACTGGGATATAAACATATTAATACACTCTTCCACTGAATCTTCAGTGGAAACAAGGCAATTTTAGCACAAATTTTAGCCAAATGCAACAAAGGGTGCCAATTTGCAATAAATATTTGGTAGATTTCTAATGGAAAAGTTAGGTAGAAAAACAGGGGGCAAGTCTTTGTCGTAATATGTTCATTTTAGCATACATGAAAAACCCTGTTTTTGAACCATATTTTATGTTGAACCATATTTTATGTCCACAAGTTCATATTATAAGGAGTATTCTTGACTTTTAGTATTAATTTGGATGGTTAGACAAGAGATCACCCTGAGAGGTTTTTTTTTTTTTTTAAGTTTCAGAAGCAATACTTATTGTGGTGTTCAAAATTATGATCCAGAAATCATTCTGTATTTTTTAAAATTTGTGTGCTGTTGCATTGTGTGCTATGCCGTGGGTGTTTTTATTTAGGTTTTGAATTAATAAAACAAAAATAAATGATTGGGCAAGAAGGCTTTAAACAATTGCCCCATTAGTTCCCCCTCCCTCCAGTATGTTTTATGCTAATGTTCATTTGATTCTTTTACATATTATCTTCACTTTAAAAAGCCATGTCTTCCACGTGAAACATAATTTATTTTTCTTTGACTGGTTGTTCACTCCTGCCAAAAGTACATACTTCTTTACATTCCATAATATTGTATGTTCATATGGGTACATAAAGAAGTATGTGTTCTGGGCAGGTTTTTGTAGCTGCTATCTGCTGGATAAAACTGGACATTTCGTCCCCTTTTTAACCTAAAGTATAAAATAGTAGTTCCTGGTGAATTTTAAAAACACATTTTTGCTCTTGTTTCTTAGTATCTGGCCTTATTACTGAGAATTAAAGCCTTCCTGTACTTTACATGTACAATAATTTAAAACACATTAAAACAATTGTTCTTTCATGAAGATTCAGGTACTTGTTAGGTTTTTGTTGCTTTTTATTGGCTATTAAGCCTGGTGAACAGCACAATTTCACCAAAGTTTGATTATATAAAATACCTTCATGAAATGGTAATATATGTTCATGTGTTCCACTCTGAGCTTGCATTATCGTTGGTCTTCACGCATATTTTATCATACTTATCATATTTATTTTTTTTAGTATCTGGTGAAGTAGAAAAAATGATCAATTTTGTAACGATGTATGCCTCTAGGAAGAGTCTCAGTTGTATTTTATAAATAATGAGAATATAGCCAAATACATAGCTGATTATATTCCAAGAAAGAAAATAAGTTGCAAAGTGAAGATTTGGCCTTTACTTTTAATTCAAACCAAAGTGAACTAGTTTTTGCAGGACATTTTCAAATTACAAAAGTTCATATTAAAATATACTTTTTGATGTCAAAATTGTAAGTTTAGTAGCTCATATACCTTCACAGGCTTAGTTAGCTGATACTGTAGTTTATCTTTGTGTTCATATTAATCATAAGACACAAAAAACCCCAATATCAGGTTGCAAAAAAAATTGATTTTTTTAAAAAAAGAAATATATAGATAATTCATTTTAAATGATACATAAATCCTCTTGTAAAGTATATTTATAATCGGAAGAAGAACATTCATCCAGTACTTACATATTTTCAAAAATTAGAAAAAAAAACTCCAGTTGATCATGTTAAAGAAAACCAGTTGTTCAGTTTCTGCAGCTCAAGAGAAAAAGCTAGTGCAGCTGATAGAGAGCAAATCAGAGACTAGCAGTAGCTAGCACAATTCTACAAGAAGAAACAGCAATGCAGCAGAACAATTACAACTTGCTTGTTTCAAATTTAAATTATATTGCTCATGCTCTAAAATAATATTTTTAATCTCTTAGTAAAAGTACTTTATTACTAAATCATGCCTTATCCTACCCTTTTATATATAATGGAAATGAATCCACAATGAAATGTAAAAGTAACAATGGAGTAATGCATTTCTGTAAAATTAATTTATTTTGAAATGCTAAAATATTATTAGATATAATACTTAAAATACGATTAACAAGATTTCTTGTCCAATAGTATTAAGCTATGGTATTACTCAATTAAAGCTGATTGTTTCCCATATTAACACTTTACACTAGAAATACTTGATATTTTAGCACACTACTAGTATGTTAAGCTGCAATTGAGATTAATATAAAAAATACACAAATTATTAAAAGATACATTCAGACATAAATCCTTTAAATATGTGGAATAATTCAGGTCTTCTAATGCTCTATTACCTGTAAGCTTATCATGCAGCATTTGCAGTTGGATGACCTAGAGAGAGACATCAGCAGCAGCCATCTCATCTTGAATGTTCACTCTATCGCTGATTCAGCTCTTCATTATGTGGGAGGGGGGAAGCAATGGAGAGGTGAAAATGAATACATATTTCACTATAAAACAAGTATAATTAAAATAGGAGCACATATCTTACAAGGTATCTGTTGTGTTTTCCTAACCATTAAGGTGTTGTGCATAGAACTAAGTTTCTTGAACCTGCTGGACAGAAAACAGAAATATCCAAAGTAGATGCTAGAAAAACCCAAAGAAGGATAATCTCATCTTGTTTAGATAATTGAAAATGATTCAAAAATGTTCATGAGATTGTAAAAAAAAAAAAAATCAGCATACACCTTCATCCATCCCCCCTTCTCAAGCAAGTATTGTTTCTTTCTCCATAGATAGAGGACTTGATTTCTTCATGCTTGAATTTTAGTTCCCAGACAGGTTGCTTGTAGTTATTTTTCATTTTTAGAGGTCAATCACTGCTTTTGAGGTCAGGACTTCCACATGCATGCTGTTTAGCATGAATCCATTTGCTACTCAGGGCACTAGCAAAACTATTTCAGCTTTATAGGCAGCCAGGCATTTGAAACATCCACTCCCAGGCTGTCTTTTGCCTCTCTCTTCCCTGACCATATTTAGTCAACCATTGCAAAAAATAGTATCTCAACTGTTGGTTGCTGTTCCAGGAACAGACGGTGCCTCTGTCTTTTACTCTGCCTATTGATGGCTCTTCCTGCAGTTTTACTACTCAGTCCCTATATGTGTGGTATCAAATTTGGTGGCATGTTTCAACTTAAGTTTTTCTAAAAAAAATTTTTTTTATTGATGTTCAAATTCTGATATCTCAGTCACTGTGTTTATTCTTCTAAAAATGAAAGCAAGATAATAAGAGGAAAGTCAGAATGAAGTAACATTTCAAAAACTTTAGAAATCCTTGTTTTGTGAAAAAAAAGAATCAAATACACTATGGAATAAAGAATCAAACCTTTGTGATAATCAGGATGGAAGAAACTATGTTCTTAGTTTTAATTTTAAATTGAAGTTTTGACTTATAACTTGCATTTTATTTTAGAAAACTACAGCGTATCTTAGGAATATGTGTATATATATTAACTTTAGTTTGTTTGTCTTTAAAACATTTTTGAGTTTTTCTAATTTTATTTGTACATTAAATGTGATTTGTGTTCTGTCTTGACAAAATGTCAATAACAATAACAGGCATAATCTGTAAAACATTCTACAAAAGTATAACTTTTCTCTGATTGCTCTTTTTGTGGAGAACTGAAGGTTGGTAAGATACAGAGATTAGTTGTCCATTGCTCATGAGAGAGTGTAAGTAATTGGACTCCTCTGTTAAGTATTTTTAAATAACCATCCAGAATAGTTTATATCTAGATGTATCTCTAGATTTGTATTTTTTTCATAAACCTACCTTACCTTGATAAATCTATGTAGCAATGCCCATATTTTCATTATTTAAATGGCTACCAGTGAAAGGATTTCTTTTATGGCACTCTATATATGGAATGGATACATTGGATATATGATTATATGTATATGATTCTCCCCTCCCCAGTGTGTGTATTATTCCATTAACTGTTTTTTAAGACTATTTGATAGCATTCAAAAATCTTTCTAATGAATTTATTATGTGTGTTTTAATTATCTGTAAACTACATTGAAAAATGTTTTTGAGATAGGATATAAATATATTTAAATGGTAAACTACGCCAGGGTTTTCTTGTCCTCAGTTTTTCTAGCTCTTATATTATGATCAATGTAAAAAGATTTATATTATGTCTGGCAAAAAAAGGAAGACTTAAAAGCATTTGAAGTTGCCTTTTAAAAAGAATAGTTTTGAAGGGTAAATTAAGTTTTTAAGAGGGGAAGTCTGAAAGATACACGTTCCCCAAGCTGCACAAAAATACATATACATGCTTGTTATATAAACCCCCCCCTCAAGCTACACAGAAGTACAACACCTCATATTGCCAGTATGAATTCCCATACAAAATTCCATTCATATATAATTGGGAAAAGAAAGTATGAAATGTCAGCATGGTAGATTGAAACACAGCAGGTGGTGTATAAACTGCAGGAACGTAATTCTCAAACATGAAGTAATGATATTTGAGGCTAGGGGGAAGAGTAAATAAATGTGAGATACAGGATAGTGTTGACTTCCTTCCCATTTTCAAAGCCTGTCATTACTAGATTTCATTTATTCATTTCTCTGATATCTGATAGGTCACCCACTCATGGTAGCTAAGCATTCACAAATATCTGTATATATTGCATGTGGCAAATTGAGTAGGAAATTTGAAAAATATATCTTGTTATGAAATTTTATATACATTTTCTCAGAAGTAAGCCCCATTGAGTTCAGGGGAATTAAATCATTACCGTATTATTGTAAAATAGCTATTAGTACTAAAAAGTATATTAAACTAATATACTTTTATGGTGATGTATAAGACAATATGAATAAACTTCAGAACTGGACATGGGATTACTAGAATAGCTAATATGGATTCCATTACCTAATTGAGAAAAAATGTTAAAGTTTAATAGAATGGATAGTATTTCATATAAAATCTGTTTTTCAGTAATAATAAAAACTGGGAATCTAATCACTGAGTTTGGGATGTTACACTTAAATGGAAAATTGTATTCCTTCTAGAAGTTAATACTGATATAATCCTTTACATTTTTGTCTATTTCAGTGCAATGCGAGTATTACTGTCTAAACTTCCAAGACCATGGATTGTAGATGAAAAAAAAGATGATGGATACACTGCTTTGCATTTGGCAGCACTTAATAATCATGTAGAAGTAGCAGAACTTTTGGTACATCAGGTAAAATTTCCTATTAATTGATTTCATGCCAGAAAGAAAGAATATATTGTTACAAATAGATCCATACATTTGCTTAACAAACAATTTTCTACATCCAAATAAAGATTTTTTTTTACTAATTATTAAGACATTGTGTCACTACTGATTCTCTTAGTGATACCAAGTGGGGGTAGTACTGATTTTCAGAAACTTTAATATAATCAGCTATTTTATCTTGTACTTGGATATTTTATTGAAATTTTGAAGATGTATATATTCCTTTTTTTTCTAATTTGTATAGCCACTTTTATGAGACAAATCCCTTAAACAATTGAAAAATACATTTTATTCAAAGAGGAAATCGCTAAACCTTATCCATATTTACTTAGAAATAAATGAAATATGAAAACCTAATGAAGCATTGAATGAATTTGAAATTCAGTTTGAAATTTCAATTGAATTTGAAACAATGAAATTGTTTATGTTGGCTTACCTAAACAAAAAAAAACATATGAATAAATAAAGTTCTACTATGTTCAAAATAAAATAAAGGAAAAAAGAACAATATATCAGCTAGTAACCTTGAGATAATGACAAAAGAGTAGCCAGTAACCAAGATAAAACAAGAAAATTGAGCCATTCAGTCACTATATTCACTGCTCACTCTTCTCTAACAAAAAAACATATATAAAAAGCCAGATGAACAAATAGAATTGAAACTTGTTACTAATATTTAAAAAAAGCTATAGAATGCCCTTTTATTTTGAATTTTAAGTCATATAAATTGCATCCTAGTTTACCAAATGAACTGTATTGGGTTTATTTCATTCTATTCAATCATCTCCAAGTCCTTGCTAACTTAATAAATCACAATTTTGATCACCCAGTTTAGATTTTGAGAAAGCTACAGGCATAATATATCTTAATTTAAGGAGAGTATGTGACAGTATCCCATGACAATCTGATTACCAAGCTGCTTAATTGTAATCTGGTTGGCATGACCCTTTAATTGATACTTAATTGGAAATCATATTTGAACAATGTTCATAAATGGTTTCTCATCAAAATATGAGACATAATGTGTGGGGTGTAATAATAATAAATTGGATGGTTAGTTACTTAGGAGGCTTAGTATCGTATCCTAGGAGACAAAAATAAAGGAACTTAATTAGAAAAATTGGCTAGAAATAATATTATGAAAGTAAACCTAGATATACAAAAGAAACTGACTGAAGTTTTAAAAACTGAAAGGGAACTACAAATGATAAACCAAGAGAATGACCTGGAAAATATTTTCTTGTTGGATCTACAAAAGAAGCTTGTTAAAAATTTGAAGAGATCTGTGTGATAGAATAAAGAATTAAAGAGAAAACTCTTTTGACAATATATGTTTGATGTAAAAATTAAGTCTATTAGAAGAAAAAGGAAGGAATATAAAGTTGATTTATTTGATCAAGGTTAAAGTAAATCATTTTTTTGCAAATGAACTTTCTGCTAACATCAGGATAGAAACGTTGGTATTTTATGGATTTGCTTATGGTAGATAAAGAATGGAACATGGAATGAAGAATTACCTATTTAACCTTACAGGAGTGAAGATTTAAATTTGTTTATACTTGTGTTGAAGTACATTCTGTACATTTCTTTTTCCTGCACTATTTATTTTTCCATTCTCTTCTCTAAGTTTAGTTTGTATTAGTTTTTATAATTGTAGTTAAAATTCCTAATAAAATATTTTTAAAAGTACACCTTCTCAGTAGGGGTGCCTGCCCTCTAGAACAAGTCTCCCCTTGTGATTTGGATCCCCCCCTCCAATTTTACTGTTGTTTAAAAGATCCCTCTTTACCCAGACCTTTGGTTAGGGAGAGTGAAAGCCCTTGTTCCTTAGCACTTGTTCTCTTTTATCTTTCTTTATGTTTTATTGATTTTATTGTAATTTCCACTGTTGAGTTGTTCAGAGTTAGGTGGCATATTAGTTTAATGTATTACTATTAATTAGTTTTTCATCCAGAAGCTATATTTTGTTCTAAGCCAGTTCAAATGTTTGAGCTATGCTTTGTGTTGACCAAAGAGGTAAGTTGATTTTATCCACTCAATATATGGAGATTATGAATTCCTATTCATAAATTGTCTCAGTACTGTATACATCATCTCCTTGTTTAAATCTATTCCTTAAGTTGGTATGGTAGCTAAATGATCACCCAACTATAAATGGTCACTAGACAAATATGTGACAGAGAGAGAGGAGGGGAGGGAGGGAGAGAGAGAGAGAGAGAGTTGCTGCAAAGATCACTGGTTGCTTCTTTCTTTTTTTAGATAAAGTTATATTGTATAGTGTCCTGTGCCTGACCCATTTTACTCATTTTCATTAATCAATGTATTTCTTCCCCTGCTGCTTTCCTCCGCAGAGTAGTGCTTCCCTAAAAAGTACTAACCTCAAGTGAACAAGCTTAGCTCTATAAACTTAATTCGTTTATTAGAACTCCCCCACAAGCTGATACTGCTGCCCCCAATTGACCAGACCTTAATCAGTTTCACGCTGAAAGCTTTTTTGTTGTCAGGCTCTAAAATTTGGTGGTAAGTGCAGGCTCTGGTTTGGTCAGAAAATGATTTAGCAGCATATTTCTGAGTGGTCGCTAAATGAAGTAGCCCTAAACAAGGAGTGGCTGTAGTGTGAAAAAATATTAAGTTATTTCAGTAGATCAAATTCTTTTTAAATTTTGAAAACAGCTAATGAAACATTTCATAAACTTACCATATCAAATATGGATTCGTGGAAAATACTGATAAATGCAAAATAGAAAGAGTATGAAAATTAATT